TCCATGGCGCCACATCCACCGGCCGCTGCCGCCGCGCACGTGAGCTCCTGTAAAAGTTCCCGCCGAACACGCGCCTTCTCCTCCGAACCGCGGGCTTAATTGTCTCCAGGTGGCAATTAACTGTCCGTAGTTAAACCGGCGCGGCGGCGTGTGCAGCGGAAGCTTCCTCTCCTGTTGCCCTCCCGCCTACAGACAGCCCCTGACATGGCAGCTCCCGCCCGCCTCCACTTTACCAACCTGCGGGAGCGTCCAGGTTTTCTTCAGCTCTGCTTTTTCTGTGTTTAGTTCAACGCGCTTCACTTCTGCAGTCTCTCCCTCTCCCTCTCTCTCTCTCTCTCTCTCTATGAGCTTATCGACCTTCCCGAGTGGCTCGGTGACGCCCCCTGGCAACAAACCCCCCTCGTGCACAAATACATGTTCTCATATAGCCCGGTAACAAGTTAACGCGATTAACGGAGCGAGTCCTGGAAATGACAGCACGTTATTATTGACAGTGGTTTTGGCCAACAACAAAAAAACAGAAATCTGTAATATTATGATTTTATTTTGGGCACATTTCTCACAGTCATATTGACAGACATGTTTTTTAAGATATATTTTTTAAGATATATTTAGACTGTGGATTATGTAGGCTGGAATACTGCATAGTTGAACAAACGTTCATTGCCAAGTTGTTTATTTTTTGTATTTTGTTGGCTGTTGTTTGCTCTCACCTCTTGTAAACAAGCTACGTGCCAAACACTCATTCAGGTGGGTGCTTTAAAGAGAGGATGTTGTGGTCACTGAAAGAAAATGTGTGTGGAGTGCTTTTGGTCTCCTGATGAATGTCCAGTCTTCACTTTTAGCTCTGTTTTGGTCTCCAACAACTCCGGAAGAAGAAATTATGTAGCCCTTTAACTGTTGTATTCCACATCTTGTCAGTAACTTTGTTTGTCCGTTGGTTGGTGCTGAGCGGACACTGTGCAATTACATTTTTCACAACTGTGCTGCTTCTCGACTGTCAATTAGAGTGACGATACTGAACCAAAACAGAGAAGTTGGGGACCATAAAACCCAAACCGTGAAAGGGAAACGGCCTTTCAAGCTGTGGGTAACTGAAACGTCTGGTGGTACTGATTGAATTCTTAAATTGATAGAGGACTTAACATTTCTCATTTCATGTCCGGGGGTCTTGCAGAGGCTTTTATTTAATGCCTTGGACCCGCTCTGCTCGAAAAATGGTTGAATTTCATTAAATTTCGGTCACTTTGAAGTCATCATCAAGGTGATTGGGAGGATCATATGTGTTGATGGGGGTTTTAATTTGACTATAAGCCAGGCAAAGATTATTTCATCTATTTCATCTGCAATCATCAAAATAAAGAAAAATTCACCTGGAATAACTCGCAAATACACTTAGTCTCATATAAATTTAATGCCAACTCCATTACCATGCCTTACCTGACGTATTACAAAGTCTAATTCAGGGCAGGATCAAGAGTCACAGGTAGAAGTCTCTCAGGAACGCACTGTGCGGCCACTTAAACAAGAGAACGGGAGCTTTGCGGGATTTTACATTGTAATGCAAGTCTGCTGTTCCGGCTCGGCTCAAAATAAATGGGTCGTTGGGTGAAATATTAATGCAGGTGGGTCGATGTGTTGTATTTTTTTTGCAATGTAATACATTTCTTATATGATATTTTCAGATTTTACACCTTTTTCCAGATAAGGATTAAAATAAAATACTGGATGTCTTAATATAGGAAATACATATATGATTAAAGGGTCATCAACTTTGTTTAAGGGGAAATTAGTGTATAATGACATGAATAATGGAGTGCAGTAAAATTCGGTTACTGGGTACTATGGCAGGAAAGTAGGGAAAATATGGTAGAAGTGTACATTTTGCTATCAAGTTTTTCATATATAACATTTTGAATTAAAGATGTATTTGCAAATACAATCCTCTGGAAATTACAAAATAAACTCTTTTGCAGCAGATCTGAAAATTAAACCGTGTGCACTCTTTTCTGTCAGGTCAAGGGTCAGGTCACATCCTCCAGTTAATCATGGTGATCAAGCAGAGCTCTGAAGAAATTGCAAAAACGTTGAACGTTTCTTCCTGTTGTTTCTTTTCATTGTACAGTATTAATAATTGAAGTGCAATACATCTGCACAGCTTGCACGTTCAAGCCCCTCTGACTTGGTTCCGCATTGAATGCGCTAAATCTCTGGCAGGTCAGGTATATTTTTAAAAATTCATTCAGCAAAAATGTTACACACTGCTCCACCACCTGGCCTTTCTTGCAAATGTGCACATGATTTACAACTACACGAAAGCGATAAGAAATGTTCTTCAATATTTCTGTGACTTGTGACACTTTTAGCAGCTATCTATATGAGGAAAAACACTCCCTGAAGCCTCCCTGAATACACTCATTGTGAAAGTTCATGGCGATGATGCTATCTCGCTGCCAGCTGGATGGAGATGAGCGTAGCCTTGACAGTCTACCTCCAGATAGCGTGACTAGACTTCTTTGTGGAGACCATTTCCTACTTGTGGCACTGTGCTCCATTGTGTTGTACAGTCTGTGAAGACGTCGGCATGATGGATTACTGTTATTTATAGTTGAGAGAGTTCAAGCGCTTCTCTTTATTCCTTTGTGCCATCTAGTGGTCGACACCTGAAGCATCGCTTCTCTCTGCTTTTCTCATTGTGTTTCTAAGGTGCTGCCGATAAAAACAGGTTGAACGGGTCAGCGGTCCCTACAGGGGATAATTCAGAATGACAGACACCCACCCTCACTGGTGCTCGTGCACCTGTTGGCAGCTGTAGTCTCCTCTCTTAACCTGCGTGACTGTGGACTGAGGGAGGAAACACCTTGGGGAAATACTTGCAACGTCTTTTAGAAAAAAGGCCACATCAGGGAATCAAAACCATGCAGTTATTTTCAATTAAGAGGTTCTCAATGTAAGAAATTGATGCTGAGGTGGTTGGATCTTATATTCATGTTATGAGGCATTGACCGTTTCTTTTTGACGCTTTTAAAAAGATAATCCAGCCATAATTTTAGATTTCTAAACCCTGCCGATTAAACCCAAAACCAACAATGTCTCTCACACATTACATCTGTGCCATCCAGCTCCAAGAGGTTTTGTTCCCACAGAAAACAATGGAGGGTGAGAAGCTCAGCAATTCGCGAGGAGCTCGGAGTAGAGCCGCTGCTCCTTTGCGTCGAAAGGAGCCAGTTGAGGTGGTTTGGGCATCTGGTGAGGATTACCCCTGGGCGCCTCCCTAGGGAGGTGTTCCAGGCACGGCCAGCTGGGAAGAGGCCCCGGGGAAGACCCAGGACTAGGTGGAGAGGTTATATTTCTGCACTGGCCTGGGAACGCCTTGGGATCCCCCAGTCAGAGCTGGTAGATGTGGCCCGGGAAAGGGAAGTTTGGGGTCACCTGCTGGAGCTGTTGCCCCCGCGACCCGACCCCGGATAAGCGGTTGAAAATGGATGGATGGATGGATGGAGAAAACCATGGAAGCCAAGTACTCACAGTGTGTGACCTCAGTAATTCGGTCCACCTTCAGAGAAAATAATGGTGCAGAATGAAATTGGTGATCAGAATTTAAATTGGACAGACCTTGTGCAACGGGGCCTCGTCTCTATTAAGAGCCCCATTATTTGCCAATATTTGCTCAATTGTGGCCGATTTTCTCCGTTGGCTCCACCTTAGAAAATGTGTTGAAAAACAATTATGTTTTCAAAAAATGCTGAAGAGGTCAAAACCAAATTGTTATCATACAATATCACAATAATGTTCTTAAACACTACGAGACTCAGCGCACATTGAAAGTAGGTGGCTTGTGGCTGTGTGGAGTGGTGCTTTGTCTTGGCTGGAAACCGCACATGCTTTTGTGAAAAAAAATGTATGAAATGAGGAACAACAGTGTTTTGATCTGATGCAAGAGAGTAGAGTGTAGCAAAGAGCCGCCTTGGCTCTTGGCTGCACGAGGTGAACATTTCACGAGGTGAACATTTCACCTCGTGCAGATAAGTATCCAACATGTAGTGTCAGTAAAGTGCCCAAATAAGCACAAACTGTGCTCAAGCTGTGGTTGTTTGAAATACTCATAGTTACATATCTTTCAATGTTAAGCTACTTGATGTTAAGCTACATTGATGTTTTTCAGTCCAAACCATTTTATCTCAAAAAGATTTGAGCAATTATGGGGATGGAAAAATGTAACTAACACTGCATCTGTTGGAATTCCATGCACATCACGGTTAAATTTGTGTACCAAATTTGGTAACACATTGTCAACATTTTTGTGAAACAGCATTTTTTTGTTTCTGATAGTTTCCTGATAGAGATACACAAACTCCCCTCACCACGTTGCCATTTAATTTGAAAAGCAAGAATGAAGGTCACGTTAATGTTTTTTTGGAAGGATGTGAGCGATTAGGAAGCTTGACATTTGGATGAATGACGTCAAAAACCCTACACCAAATCTGAGCTAACGTCGTTAAACTTCACCGACCTCTTCCATAAATCATGTCTCTTGGTGAACACAGCAGACGGGCCTGAAGCTTTTATTTCATCCTGCATGTGGCGTCTCCTCCATAAAACAAGAGCAAGTTAGAGTTAAAAAAAAAAAAAGCCAAAGAAGTAAAAGCATCAATCATTTCTTCCGGTGAAGTGCCTGCATATCATTTAAATGAAATGTCCTCTCTGAAAATATCAAAGTTTATAGGTGACAAGAGTCCTCACTGTGAAATCAGAGTTATTAGTTTTCTGTTGACATGGACTGCCTCCTTCCTGCGCTTTCATCAAAAATGTGCGACTCACAATGACACGCTCGTATCGTGCTGCAGACTCGCAGCGGAGCGCCGGGACAGCCAGGCTGCTAAATTATCTCAGAGGCCACGTGTGTGTGTGTGTGTGTGTGTGTGTGCACCGTGTTTGGTGGGATCAGCCTCCTGTCATTTGTCACTCTTTGCCTTCATTACAGAAAGGAGATTAGATTTGGAACATGACCTTGGCTTTTTTGTTGCGTTGGGTTTATTTCCCCAGGAGGAGGTAATGCAATTCTGCTCGTGCAGCACAAAAACACTTATGACCCAATCAATGAACGGCTCTCCCTGAGTTTGAAACTGCTATTTCAACAATCATTTTTAGTCAGTAGTAAACATCAATCTTTGCAGGAGATCACCAGCTGGAACATCCTCGTCCTGTTTCTCTTCAGAGTGATTCGGATTTAATTCCTAATTGCCAATTTGCTTCACGCCGGCGTTGCATGCGTTTTATGCTCTCTCCGTTCATGCCGCGTGGGACTGTTTTAGTAGCTCAGAACAACTGAAAAACAACTGTTATGTGAGGACTTTTATCTTCATACATCTAGAGACTAGAACCAAGGTCTCTGCGAACCACGTTGGTTGTTTTCTGCAACTGGATGAGGATTTACAGACAACAACGGGAGGAGGACAAGATGTTCGAGACCAATCCCTGCTGAGCCTCGCCGTCATTGTATGTCTCTGCAAGACTCTTTCTTCTCAGCAGGACGCTCTGACTCGTCCTCACGCCATGGGTTTCATTTAAAGGCAGGCGACAACAAACTGAGAGAGATAATCCAAAGAAAAGGAAATCATATGGGTAAAAATATGTTTTGGTGTTTATGTTGATTAAACTTGATATTTAAAGGATTCAACACCTTTAAAGAGGCCCAACTGGTCATCGTAAAAACAGACATGTATTCCAGATATTGGGCCGGTATTTCCTGCTTGATTTCGGATTACTTATCAGGTTTGTTTCTTATACTTGTGTGACTTTATCTGCACTCCCTTGTGTCTGTGCCGGTTCGTCTCATTGGTTTTCCTGTGCTTATTAGCTGTTCGTTACTTGTTTATGTCCTTGTGTTTAATTGAAAAATGTTGAGTATCTTTTGACCTTTTCATTTTCTTTGACCTGACACTGGCCTCCGTTGAAGACCTTTTCATCGAGTCTTGTTATTGAGTCCTTTGTCGGCTGGTATCAGTGTGCTTTTGATCGATTGATAGCAGAGAGATGCATGAGAGACCAAATTGTGTCTCTCACAGCTGCCAGTTGTGAATTAAAACAAGCACAATACAAACATTTATGACTCAAAACTGACTAATTGTATATAGCTTTGCGTTTAAATGTTGTAAATGTTTTTCTGTGGTGGAAAATAGTGAATAATGCCCTTGTGAGAAATCAAAAGTATCTTGAGCTGGTTCGTGATAAAGTATTTATCACAGACTAGCATATTGAAAAATAACAAAGGAATACACAAAATCCTCAAACACAAGCCGTAAGCACAGACAGGAGTTCAATGACTCAATTCAGCTGAAAAGGGACAGAGTGTTCCTTCTCCCTTACCGCAGCAGGAAGAGCTGACAAAGCTTCTCGGTGTAAAGAGAAGCTTTTAATACCCATCGGAGCTCCAAACTGCAGGACAAGGAAGGAGGAGCAGAAAGCATATAGGACAACACCGTATGAGGGAAAGGGAGCAGAAAGCACAAAACTGTGCAGCAATGAGGCCCTTTGAAACATATTCATGAACTTGAGTGTTTCAAAACGGATGAAAGCCAGTCGCAGGTACCAGATGAACCCACACAGACAGCTTGCGTGTAAACGATCTGAATTCCTATATGTGTAAAATATTTTGGAATCTTGTATGCCGTTGAAGAAGCTTTCAGACACTGAATGGCTGTATTATATCCCAGGAGAGATGTGTAGGGGTCGTCGTGGCGCAGGGGTTAGAGAAGGGTGCTGGGAACCACAAGGTTGGTGGTTCGATTCCAGGCTGCCCCATGTTCCATGTCGAAATGTCCCTGAGCAAGACACCTAACCCCTAATTGCTCCCCAGGCAAAAATGTGAAAAGCCATGGGTTTAAAGTGTAATGTAAGTCGCTTTGGATAAAAGCGTCTGCTAAATGACCTGTAATGTAATGTAGTTAAGACATCGGACCAGCAGAGGACTCTCATGAGCTTCGACTGTGATCGGCCATCACTTCCAAAACTGAGTGAATCCTAAAAGTGATCCATTTTTCTTCTTCGTGTCATCTCAAATAATCCTTTCATAAGCACAAGGTCACTGGAGGAGATGAAACCTGCACATGTTACATATGAGGGTAAAACGTGGACTGTTTCGGTGCAATACCAGTCTTATATTCTCCTTATATAAACATCAGACCAGACTTGTGATGTAATGCTGCAGAAAAGATAATGGGCTCTCAAGAACAAGTGGCAATTACATGAAAGATCTGTCTGTAGTGAGCAATCAGTGGCTGAAGATGAGGAAACTGAGAGGCCTTTTTTTGTTCTTCATTTCTGCACGATGTTATGGATCTCGTCTCATCCAATGTTTCACAAAAAAAGTTATTTTTCAATTCCCATAAAATGTATTTTTGACTGAAACTAAACAGATCTATCAACACTTATACTTTGGTAAATCATCAAGCCTTGATAAAATGAGAGAGGGTTGATGATTATTACATTATATGTCATTTAGCTGACGCTTTTATGTCTTGCTCAGGGACACTTCAACATGGGACATGGAGCAACCGGGCTTTGAACCACCTACCTTGAGGTTCCTGCCGCATCCTCTGTACTCCGAGCGCCACCGTCAAATAAAGTAATTTCAAGATGTGGATTTGCATGCATACATAAGTGTCACGGTGTGGTTTCATTTCCTGTTTTATTTTGTAGTTTTCTGCTTCTTGTCTCACTGGGTAACTTCACTTCCTGCCTTGTCCTGTCATTGTCTGTGATTGTCTGATTGTTTCCACCTGTGTCCAATCACCTGCACCTCCCTAGTGTATTTAAGCTGTGCGTGTCTCCTGTCACTGGTCGCGTCATTGTTTGTCGTCCTGGATGTTCCTCGTCCCTGTCTATCGTCCTGGATGTTCGTTAGTTCTTGCCTGACGTTTTTCCGGTTTATCGGATGCAGCAGGAGTCTGGGCTCCTCCAGGCCTCTTCCAGCTCTCTGCACTGATCAGTGCAACCGCCATTTAGGAGCCTGACTGTACGGGGCCAGTGTCTGCTGGCAGGGGTCCCACAAAAAAAAGAACAGAAAAGCTAAGCTTTTAAGCTAAATGTTGCAATGAAACTATAGCTGCTCACCTTTGCGCTCCTTTTGCATTCAATGTAAATTACTTTCTGCTGTTGCCTCTCCGCTGCTATGGCCTATAAATAAACTCCCCGGCCCTCCTGGCTATCTGAAGGTCCTTTGCACTTACTCACATAAACACACATACACACGCACACGTATGCACACCAGAGGGAAACAAAAGCCTCACTCATGTGACTAATGAATTTGCTGACAAGGTGTGTTAGCAGGTCAACAGCTCAGACCCTCAACCATGTAAAGAAGCTCAATTAGAAGCTGACGTATGACAGGACAAGATTCTTTTTGAAACCTTTTTTTTTTGTTTAATAATTGTTGCAACTGGTGCTGTGAGAGTGAAGCATTATGCAGTTTGTCTTAATGAGGTGGAGCCAGACGGTGATCAGAGACACATAAGGTCAGAGCTGGGGGGGGCAAGAGGCCAACAGCTGAATCTTGCATTCTTCTCTAGAGTCCGACAGACTGCCACATCCCACCATCTGTACCTCCCCTGTACTGTCAACAAACACACACACACACACACACACACACACACACACACACACACACACACACACACACACACACACACACAAAGACACACTCGCCTACCTACAACAAGCAGAAATAATACATTGAAAACTGAACCAAATCATGTAAAGATGTTTAAACTTTTAGGAAGAAAAGAAAAATGATATTTGACCGTTTGATAAAGCCAGGCGAGCTGTGTCCAGCATACATGCTAAGCTAAGCTAACTTTTCCATGACACCAGCTCCACATTTAATGGGGTGACTTCCATTTCCTCAACTAACTTGCAGATAGAAAGCAAATACCAAGACTTTCCATCGAAGAAGAACGAAAGCCGTTGTTGTTTTGACAAATAACCTGAAATCAGTTTGGAATTCTTTCCCAAAATGTCCTGCTATTCATTTAACATCTGAACAAATACCCTTTATTCTCTTCTGAGTATACTGTGAATTAAAAGCTCTCTCAATTGTGAGGATTTTATTCATCAATTAATGAAACCTAGTTCACTTGTATTTAATGGTCATATCTCAAGTTTGAGTTCACAGTCTAACATTACAAATGGACCTTTAAAAGAGGAAAGAAATTTAAAGTTAGAGTGCTATTTTGAAACGTAGGAACAGAGAACCGGCCAGCACAGTGATTAAGTGATATTAGAGTGTCTGTCGAGGACTTCTCTGAGGTGAACAGTGGAAGTTGAAAAACAACCCATTGCCATCTAACACCTCTGAGACTCCACTTTTGAGACACCCCTATTTTATGCCTTGGAAGCCTTTGTGGCCCCTAATAAGCTACACACTTCCACCGAAGCCGAGATTGGAGCCATTGTGGGGCCCCTCTTTGTGACAGACATCTGGAATCCTCTTCTGTTGCCCAATTTCCAGTCCCATTCAAGACGGACAAAGGAGAGCGGGCGGCGGGCCGTCCAAAAGTCACTCTCCATCATGTTGGGCTCTCGCAGCTTGACACGGAGACAATGAGGTGGAGGGACAAGGAGCACGGAGGAGCCGCTCCGCTCTGCGCTGGAGGAGGGGCGGCCAGTGAAACGGAGATCATACCCCCCCCCCGAGGGATGCCGTGTTCGTCCGCAGGAGGCGGACGGAGGCCCGTCCACCAAAAGGCCAGATTGTGGAGGGAGGGGGTGGCTGTGAATCGACAGCTGCTTGATAAATCAGGTGGGGGGGGCGCCAAACAACTGCAACTGGCAGCGCGCACGCTCTCCAAGGTCGTCATCAGGAGCAGAGATGGTGCTGATGACGCTAACAGGGCGGCGATGGTTGCGTGGAGTTGTGGATTTTGGCAGTGCGTTATTTATTATCAATAGGTTTCATTTTAAAACCTCACGCATTTGCCTGAAATTAGGGAACACAGAGGATCTCACAATCTAGTGTGAATATTTATCTTTGTGATTGTTCATATAACAACATAATAATCATGTTGAAAAAGAGGAAAATGTTTCACACTTGCAGGCTCGAGGTGCGCAGGGAAGATATCAGGAGGATGTAAAAGCAGTGTTGAAAGTGTTATGCGCAAGATAAGTGTTAAAAATATACAGGAGCAATATTTCAACCAACAAGAAGGCAACTATAACAATTCCAGTGGGCGGATCACACTGACGAAAGATAATCAGGTTGTGAAGGGAAAGAACACAACTAAGTAACATCTGAATAATAAGACGTTCTATCATCTCACTTACATCATTGTTTGGATTTCTTTTAATTTAACATGATGCAAATAAACATTTAAGTAAAAACCAACTTGTGACTCCTTGACATAGTTTATGGTTTTGAGGTTTCAATTAAAAATGGCCTATAATGTCAAGATACAATTGTATTGGCATAGCTTTTCTGTGCAGTGAATAGATGGACCTTGGGAATCCTGTTCCGCTCTCAGGTTAAACTGAACATGTGTCCACTAACAAGTGAACGGCTTATTCCTTGTTGCTAAAAGTTGCTGATTGATTAATGACGAGACGTCATATTGTGGCCTAAGAACCAAGTTACACGAGCACACAAAATATATTGTTTTACTGGAATAAAATATGCTCAGATTCTGATATCAAAATGCAAATACGTATATGTCTTTGTTTGTCATTGGTGCATAATTTGACTATGGAGTTTAAAGGCATTTTATATGATTTCATCGGGACTTTAAGGACACGTTTATACAAGTCTAAACCTTAAACATACAATCCGCTACCTGTAAAATCCAAGGCTCATCTCTGCGCCTATAACTTCAAAAATCACACTGACCCAGAAATAACTCTCTCCGTTTCTCTGTATCTCGTTCCAGCGTGAGGACTTTCTCCTCCTATGGCTCGAGATTTGCAACACACGCACACACACACACACACACACACACACACACACACACACACACACACACACACACACACACACACACACACGCGGTCACGGGCACGAGTGCGCACACGCGCGTCCACGCAGCGCAGATGGCGTCGCTGTCCCTTTAAAACACTCTCTCCTGGAGCTTGGCGTGGTTTCGTTGCGGATAGCAGGCAGTGCGGACGCAGCTCGGCTCGGCTCGGCATGTGCAGCGCTCCATCTCAACCGCAAACTGCGCCCGATCCAAGCGCACAGAGCCGGGGGGGTTATTGTATCCGTGACCGGGCTGTATACATTAGTTAGACCCCTTGTTTTGTTTTTGTTTTCAGCAGCAGCGGGGCGTCTTGGAAAGAAGTCGGTGTGTGCGTGCGTGCGTGTGTTTATGCATGTGTGTGCGTGCGCCTGTGTGTGTTTGTGTTTATGCACGTGTGTGTGTGCGTGTGAGAGAGAGAGTGAGTGTAACCATCCGGGGAGGAAGAAGTGCTGCTGCTGAGTTTTGTTGCTGGTTCTGCGGTGCTGATGATGATCCTGCTGTTGTCATGGCTCTCTTGGAGTGACATGAAAGTTTTTTTATTTTTTTTTATTATTATTTGATCCAATTGAATATTCCAGTTGAGGCTCCGACTCCTTAAACTGCTTTTGGTATTTTAAAGCAATCGGGGTAATTTTCTTTTTCTCCCTGACTGGAGGTTTTTGATTCGACTGCCTGTGAACTGTTGAGAGGCTGCCGGCTCTGGAGAGTGTGGAGATGAACTTTGGAAATTTACTTGTGACTGTCTCATTCATCGCCATCGCATCAGGTAGGTGATGTGTTTTTAAAGCCCCCCCACCTCTCTCTCTCCCACGCACAAGACATTTACACACATTTACACACAAGCCCATATGGCGCCTCCTGTGTTTAACTTGTTGGGTTTTCAGTCCCTCCAGATGGACATAAAGGTTGTGTTTATTTCTAAAAATAATAAACACATTGCAAAGTGGAAATCTCACCACAATTCATTCATGTTGTGTTCAAATGCCGAGCAGATGCACATTTTTACCACCCCTGAGCACCCAGGTGGTCTCCCAGGGGGGTCCATTAGGCAGCAGCCGAGGTCAAATGTGAAGCCATTTGACTCTCACTAGTCTGACAAGCCTCCAGCCTCCCAGAAAATTGGTTTTGAGAATGCACACATATGATTATAAAATGCTTTTGAAAAGATCATTTTGATTACCTTAGAGAGCGGGATTATACATTTTTGACCATTGGTTTGATCACAGATTACGTTTCTGAACCATCATCTAAACTCTAAAATAAAAGCAGGGCTCAGAAAAACAATTTATGAGAGTATGTTTCTTTCACTGCTGTATTATTAGAGCTGCACTCATTGTGTATGTTTGAAACCCACACAAATATCAATATTTGAGAACAAATCTGAGAAAATATATATATTTGCTTTTGTTTATTTATTAACGCACCAACGCATGTAGTAAAAATTATAATTTCCTTTTCAAAAGCACTCAGTGTGTTTGTTTAGCCCTGATGATACAATATAATGTTTTATGTTGTAGTGAAACACACTGAATGTAAAATATAACCGTGTTTGTTCACAAGAAAACGCCACGTAGCAATTTAATATTTATTTTAATCTGCAATAACAGATGTATTGGCCACTTGTTGGGTAAATAAGCTAC